ACTGGTCCCCTCGTTTCCTGGAGAAAACTGTTTATTCAGACTCATGTTTTTCTTTGTTTGCAGATATGTAAACTTTACCAAGAAAAGTCAAAGCCTGGTTTATATTTTCACATGGAAAACCAGCTGCCCCTCAGCTCAGGAATTTTGTGAGGAATAAATAATTTAACTGTTCAAAACCAGCTGTAGTGCGACTCTGTGTTGCTGGGGAAGAAGAGAAGTGCCCGGATCCTTCCGGAACGCTTGGTCTCCTGGGCCTGACATACATCGAGTGAGGGAAGAGGCAGGAAAATGCTCTGGACCCCTGCAGGGTTAATTTATTCAAAAGAAATAACAGAAAAATGTTCAATAGGCAAACGTCTGGTGAAGGTGCCAAAGGCCAAGGCAGCCGAAGCTGGGCCATGGGAGGCCGAGGAGGTGTGAGCAGGACGCACAGAAAACCTCAGGGGAGGGCTGACCCAGCCTGGCCAGGGGTAGAAAAGGACACTCCCATGGGGCATTTGGACCCTGGAGGAAGGACAAGGGGAGCAGCTGAGCCAGAAAGGCTCAGGGAAGAGAAAGGAAGAGTAAGAAACAAGTTTGTGATGATGCATCGGAGGCCAAGACACCCCCTCAGCCGCCCTCACCCTGGGTGCTCCAGGCCTTGAATTCCTTCTTCATCTGATGTGAAAATCCGGCCCCTTCTTTCTTCCTGGTAGCGTTTTCTGACTTACCCTTGACCTTCGTTTTAGTTTTAATCATCGGGTGGAATTTTGTGTTAGGTCCTTTCCTTGTTACCAGCATCGCACTGGATTTTGTATTTTGACCCATTCTCCAGGTCTGTTTTTCACCTGGAAAGTTTCACACATCTGCGTGAAAGTATATTCGTTCTATATTGTAAAGGAAAACACAACAGGTTACAAAGGAGTCTGCTTAGTATCAGCTCACAAATGTAGGATTAAATTCCAAATTGTGTGTGCGGGAGCATGTGCATACGCAAACGTACACCAAAAACTTAACTGCTTATCCTGTGTGGTGTGAGCTTTTTTCTTTTTGCTTAGATGTATTTTTTCATGAACATGTGCCACACACACACAAAGAAAGTTTTATAAGAGTCAAATAATTTGCAACTAGCTTATAAGGGCAATGGGGGCACCTCAACTCTTGATGGAAGAACCTCAGATTACCTCTGGAGCTCTCAGCCAGAGGAATAAAACGGGTAATGATTACAGGAAAGACGAACACCAGCTGGAACATGGTGAAGAGCACCCAAACGCCGTAGAGTGCATTCAGCAGAGGGCATAGCAGGTTAGCCGCCCGCGGATGTTTGCGTGCCGTGGGCTCTGGGGTTATGCGTGTCTACTTACCATGAAGTCAGAGGACGGGCCCTGTAGATAATTCCTATAAACATGAGAGCAGAAGGTCATGCTGACTGCACCTGATGATCGACCATGGTCTTTGCGATGCTGGACCCTCAGAACAACCCTGCGCAGTAGGTAGTACTATTCCATTTTACAGATGAGAAACTGAGGCCCAGAGAGATAAAGTCCCTTGCCCAAGGTCAAAGACTTAGCACATATTGGAATCAGGATTTGCAGCAGGCAGTGGAGAATGAGGAGGCTGGAAACCTGAGTTGGGCGTTGTAGGGTTCAGAGGGAGATAGCCCCTCCCACTGGGGGAGGAGGTGAGAGAATGCAGGTGCAGTCCGCAGGGGAGGTGTGTTCTGGGCAGCCTGCAGGGAGGAGGAAAGCACCATGCATTTGATGGGGGAGGGGCACCCTGAGCAAGTCTGTGTACTGTAGGAGAGGCACGGGGAGTGGGGCTGGAGACATTGTGGCCAGACTTTGAAGGGCCCGTATGCCTCCGAGGTCGGACTTGTAAAGATTCAAATGTCCCTGCTCTCAGCACGAGGCTCTTCCACAGCCACCAGTATGTTCAATTTTTCCCACAGCCAGTGAGGGGGGCGTCATCCCTGTTTTACAGGTAAGGAAACAGGCAAATATTTCTTCCATTCTGTGGGTTGCCTTTTCACGATTTTGATAGTGTTCTTTGATGCACAAAAGGTTTTTAATTTTGATGAAGTCAGTTTATCTATTTTCTTTCATTGCCTGTGTTTTTTGTGTAATATGCAAGAAACCATTGCCAAATCCAATGTCATGAAGCTTTCCCTCTATTCCCCATATTTAACAGAATTTTAACACCTAAACCACTGCTAAAATGCACAAGGTGTATTGCTATATACCACCGTTTGAGACTGTATCCTCCTAAACTCCAATAGAGGGGCACCTGGGTGATGGTCGAGCGTCAGACTCTTGGTTTTGGCTCAGGTGGTGGTCTTGGAGTTGTGGGATCCAGCCCTGCGAGGAATCTGCTGGAGATTCTCTCCTCCTCCCTCCGCCCCTCCCCCACACTGCACGGGGGTGCACACACTCTCTAAGTAATAAATAAATCTTAAAAAAATAAACTCCATTAAAAATAATTTATTGAGGTGAAATTCCATAGCATAAAATTAACCTTTTCAAAGTCAACAGTTTGGTGTTGTTCAGCACACTCACAACGGTGTGCCCATCCCCCATTCTTGCCTCTGTCCTTTACGGTTTACAAACAATTTTCATATCTATTTTCTCCTTTGCTCTTCACAGTAATCCTGAGAGTGAGACAGCGCGGCAAGGCTGCTCCTCAGGATGGGGGGTGCCGCAGCGAGAGCCCCTGTGCAGCGGGCACAGTGACAGGGAGCTCTCCAGCCAGTCCCACCTGCCTCTTCCCCGACTCCGGGAGGGGCTGGTGCTACGCCCTGTGCGGGTGGTCTTGTTAGGCAGGCTCCACATGCTTCCCCCTTCTCCCTGCATCGTCTGCCTCTAGGTGACCCTAATGAGGCTTTTCCACCTAGTCTTTGATGGCTGCTTATCTGCACTTCTGTGTCCCACCCCATCAGGGCTTTCTCAAGGACGGGGCACTCTGCAGGCCTTGTGCAGGTGTCTGGCATGAGCGCTGGGGACTCACTGAAAAGCACAGAGTGAGGAAGGAGCCCTGTGGAGGACCTCTGGCCTTCACGGGTGGTAAGGGTGAGGCTCAGAGAAGCAGAACCTCACGGCCCCGTGCACGGCCGGAACCAGGCCCGGACCCATTCCTACCTGGAGTTCCCTTCCTCAAACCCACCCTTGCAGCTCTTGGAGGAAAAGGGACACTGCTCTCCCCTGAGCCTCATGGGGCCTTCTTGACAGCTGCCAAGTGGTTACCATCCCGAATCCTGACCACACCCAGCGGTATTTGAGCAAACAGGAAGCCGCCAAGACTGAGGGCCTGTGAGGAGCTTGGCTGTCCCACAGCTCACACAGAGCCAGGCTCCAGCCCAGGTCCCCGGAGCCCAGGGCTTTGCTGCCTTTCTGGAGTGGCTCATGCCTCCAAGCCGCAGCAGTGAGCCTCTCCTGGGCACTGGGGATTCACGGGTAACTCCACCCTGCCCTGTGCTGAGGCCACCAGCAACGAAAACACCATGGAGAGAGCCAGACAAGTATGAGCAAAAGCTGTCCTTTTTTTTGAAGTCAGTGACTGTAACTGTTTGTCTCATTGGTAATTACCAATGAGATGCGTGGGCGCCAGGCGGCCTCCAGACCTAAGTGAGAACCAGCAGTGACCCACAGCCAATAGGTCACTTAGTAAGTGAAACTCGGATCCCATGAGTCAGGCTGCGGGCAGTGGGGGCCTCACCCAGGCTGGGAAGGATGGAGGAATACCTGTTCCCCCAGATCCAGGCCCACTCCTTCCCCCTTGTGATGCCAACATTACTTTGCTCCTTTTCTTCTCAGGCTGATGACAGATGTTTGACAATATTATTAAGTATTTGAGGTTTTTAAAAAAATGAATCATAAATTATTAGAACTAAAAAAATTCCTTTGGAATCATTTCCTGCTTTTTATTTTTAATTTTATTTATTTATTTATTTATTTATTTGAGCAAGAACAAGAGTGAGAGAGCACGAGCAGGGGGAGCAGCAGAGGGAGAAGCAAGCTCACCACTGAGCAGGGCTCCCGACGCGGGGCTCCATCCCAGGGCCCTGAGATCATGACCTGAGCCCAAGGCAGACGCGTCACAGACTGAGCCACCCAGGCGCCCCACTTGCTTGGTTTCATAGATGGGTATGCTGGGGTCCAGAGAGGGGTAGGGATGTGCTCAAGGTCGGCGGCGGGCAGGCAGAGCTGGGACTGGGACCGGGCACAAAACCTAGCCTCCTGGGCCCAGCCTGTGGCTGGGGGAGGCCCACGGTCCCCCGGGATCAGGCCTGCGTGGAGCTGGCCAGGTCTGGGCCCTGTCTCCTCATCTCTGCGCTCCCAGGCTCCATCCATTCCAGCGGTGCCCACCCCGCCAGGTTTCCTGCTGAATATTGCTCAACCTCTCACTGGACAGGGCCAGCAAGGTTAACCGGGCAGAGTTATTAACCAGGAATGGATCTTGCCGCCCCCTTCCCCGCAGCCTTTTCTGCTGACCACGCCCGGCCAACTCCGCCGTCCAGGGCGCAGGAGGGCTTCCAGGAGGCAGCGAGAGCTGGGGTCGCTCCCGGCCTGGGTCTTCCCCCGTTCCCTGGGAAGGGGGCTGCCGGCGGGGCGTGGCCAATGGGAGGGGCTGCGCGTGCAGACACCGCGCACGCGCTAGGACGAGCGGCCTGTTCGGAAATGACGACCTGGAGCTGGGCCCCGTGGCGCCCCGGCCAGACCCGGCCCCCGATGGGCCCCGCCCCGGGGAGGCCCCGCCCTGCCCCGTTAAGACTAGTTCAGGCGCAGCCGGCCCCGCCCCCAGGAAGGCCCCGCCCCGTCAGACCCCGCCGTGCCGCCGGCGGCCACGCCCCCACAGAGGCCCCGCCCCCATGGAGGCCCCGCCCCGCGGACGGCTCTCTGCGCGGACCCGGGGCTGGCTGTGCGGCGCCCGGGTGCTGTGCCAGGCGGCGCTGCGCGGGGCGCGGGGCTGGGGTCGGGGTCGGCGGCCCGAGGCGCCCGAGCGGGGCGGTCCGCGGCCGCAGAGCAACGATGGCGGAGGCCGCGCCGCAGCACCTGGCGCTGCCCTCAGGGCTGCTGGAGCTGTGCGCGTTGCTGGGGCCCTCCCGGGACAGCCTCCGCGGCCCCGACCAGGTAAGGGAGCAGGTAAGGGCCGGCGGGGAAACTGAGGCGGGACGCGGCCGGGCGGCGGCTAGGATCGGAGCGCGGGTCTGGCCCCGGCGCCCCGGGCGTCCGCGGGGTGGGGACGGTGCGCGGGGCTCCGGCCAAGCCCCCCCCCCCGCCTCCCCCGCCCTCCCGGCCGCGGAGGAGTCGCGAGGGGTGGCGGACCGGGGAGCGCTCGCCGGGGAGGAGCGCGCGCTCTGAGGACGCCCCTCCAGGTGCCCCGCCTCCCGCCCCTCGGCCTTCAGGAGGCACACCTGGGCAGGGTGAAGGCGGCGGCGGGGGGGTGGGGGGAGGTGCAGCCGGGGCGCCTGGGGGACGTCCGCGAAGAAAGGATTTCATTCATTATCCCGGACTTACTGTCTCCTCGGTGGTGGCTGCTGTTCCAGGCACAGCGTCGTGAGGTTTGGGGTTTTCGATGTAAGGTCCACTTCTAAATGTTCTGCATTTAGTCGTTTTGCGATGAAACCTTGCTGTTTTTCTTACTTGCAGAAAAGGCTGCCCCCCCCCCGCCCCTTTTCTCCTTCCCTGTGTCCTAGCGGTCAGAGTGACAAACCCTTTTCCCGGAAAGCTGCAGTTTTGAACATTCTCATTCTCTGTGTTTCTTTCCTGTGCCCTCACTTTTTCTTAGTTGTGCAACCCAGGCTTTCTTTTGAATCGGTTTGGGGCCCTCTTTTTCTCTGGGTCCAGGCTGTCCATATGAGTCTGTTTGTGGCATCTTTCTCTGGTTAGCGGTGATGCCCAGAGTACTCTGAGATTCCCGGCTCTTCCGCCCAGTTACCTGGGGAAGTCGTCCCATTCTGGAGCACCGCAGAGGCGCGGAAGGCACCTGAGTATTTAGCACTGCAGGGTTGAGGGGTTGAGGTCATCAGATACCGCTAGATACTGCTAAAATTAACTGGACAAATGTCTCTCAATGTCTTGGTAGTCTCCTTAACTTTTTTTTTTCAAGATTTTATTTATTTGAGAGAGGGAGAGAGAGAGTGCAGAAGGGGGGAGGGGCAGAGGGAGAAGCAGAAGCAGACTCCCCGCTGAGCAGGGAGCCCCACAAGGGGCTCGGTCCCAGGACCCCGGCATCATGACCTGGGCAGAATGCAGATGCCTAACCGACTGAGCCACCCAGGCGTGCCGTCTCCTTGACTTTAATACAGAGCCGACTTGGCTGGTTTCTGCGTTTCCCTCCTCCTTTCTTACTCCCCAAACCCCAGTGAGGTCTGCATCATCCCCTTTTGACCTCTGTCTCCTCTGACCCTCATCGATTGAGTTATCTCTCTGCCTCTAATTTGCCAAATGGCATTTCCTCCTTTTTCTTCTCATAGGAAATGACCTGGTTTCAGTTACTTCTTGGGTGATTTCAACACGTGTTGGTTGCCCCAGGGTGAGATGTGTCTTGAGAGTAGGGTGAATCAGCTGCAATGTGCACAGGGGTGCTTTCCTGACCCAAAAAGGCCGCGGCTTTCCCAGGCTAGCGGCAGTTTGCTACTCTGCATTTTAACTATTATCCTTGTTATCCTACACCCTGATTCTGTTAGGGGTTCAGCAGAAGGTAGAGAGCAAATATTTGGAGTAGGAAAAAGGCAACCTTACAGGATGGATCCAACTTCCTGGAGTGAGCCTCCTTTAAGGCCGATGTTTACGTTACAGTTAACCAAACATATGACTTCATTTGGCTACTTTTACTGTATAGCAGTTCTATTTCCAACGTCTGAGGCTTTTTTAGAACTTTGAAAATCACCATTTCTCTGTCGCTGAGGCATTCCTGCTTGGTGACGGTTGAAAACAAGCTGGGAAGTCTGAGAAACATCCAATTTAATGTTAGGGTAGTAAGGAGCCCTAACTTTCCATTTCATTTCTTAGATGGGGTGGTGTTTGCTTTGTGAGGATAGTGACAAAGACTTGGAGAATACAGGTCCATCCCCATGTGAGTTTCTGTGCTTGGTTACATTTCCCTCCACTCCGAGGTTGCCGTTGCCGTGGGGACTAGGCGTGGGGTATGGAAGGATCCACCGCTAACCCTCCCAATGGACTGAGAACAGTGTCCATAGAGTAGGTCACTAGCACAATTCTTGCCTGTGAAGGCAACACTGTAACGGCTCTCAGTGGAGAGCATCCTGGCTTTCGGTTTCTAGAGCAGCACGGTCCACCAGAACTTTCTGAATGATGACACCAGTGTTCTTCATCGGAGCCATCCAGTAGGCAGCCACTAGCCACATGTGGCTACCAGGTGCTTAAAGTGTGGCTAGTGCCACTGAGGAAATGGATTTTAAATTTCATTTAATTTTAATTAATTTCAATTTAAATAGCCAGATGGTTCCTAATGGTGTTGGACAGGACAGTTCTAGAGCATTAAAAAAATCTATTGTTTTCTGTTTTATTTCACAAATGTTGGCCCATCCTATATGAAGATCAATGCTCCTCTGTAATCTAACAGAAATCTGTGACACTATGACTTAGGGTGTTGTGTGTCTTATTAGCTCTGGGTTTTGGGACTGAAATGGTTGTTACCCGGTAGGGGTTAGTAAATCGGTGTCTGCGAGAGAAGAGCAGGAATGACTGTCACCAGCGGACCTTGTCTTGCCCGTAGGGGAGGAGGGACAGTGCAATGCTCTGGGATCCAGGACGGTGCTTTCAGGAACTTATTCTGAATAAGTCGGTCATGTGCAAATATGTATGGCAGTCACTGTTCACTGCTGCCTTTGCTCAGGTTGTGCGTGTGACGAAGAACTGAGAGCACACCAGCAGTCCCTCGGTAGGGGATGGGGCAGGTACGTTCCTGAGTCGTCCCCGTGTGGCCCCATACAGCTGTGACAGGGAAGTCAGCCACGCTGTGTGCTTAAGTGGGGGAAAAAAGCTTAGTGGAACCGTTAAAAGGGGATGATTGTATGTAGAGAGAAAAATCACATTGATATACACCTAAGAAATAGGAAGACTATATCCTACGCTGTGCACAGGGTATTACCCACCGTTTCATGGAATTAGGGGGAGGGCCTTTCCTTTCTATTCTTATTTCTTTTATTCTTCCTATATTGTTGTTAGCTTTAAAACATGAGAGTGTATTACTTATCCAACCAGGAAAGACAGCAAGGATATACGTTCAGAGGAAAAACAGATGTGTGATGAACTGCCAAACGCCAGGTCGGCTGGATTTTGGCCATTTCACTTTAAGTGACTAGGTAAATAGAGGGAGCGAGAGGTAGTTTGTTGGTGTTAGCATGATGACCGTGTTCCATACAGACTGAGTGTGCTCTAAGTGATCACCGAGTGCCAGGATATGAATGGATGAGCAGCATCCACTGAGAACCATCTTCTGTGCTGAATGTGGGGACATAGAGAGAAACCATACAATCCCTGCATCACCCCACCAACAACTCTGAAGGTGATACAGTACCACTGTGGAGGGCATCGATGCTCTAGGGGTGCTGAGCCAGGGCAGGTGGAGGTGGAAAGAGGTGCTCTAGGAGGTGAGGAGCCAGGGGAGGAGGAGGAAGGAGGTGCTCTAGGAGGTGAGGAGGTGAGGAGGGAGGGAATGTGGAGGTAGAAGGAGGTGCTCTAGGAGGGGAGGAGCCAGGGCCTTAATGACCTGGAAGAGGCACCTTGCCCTGGCTGTGGGTGAGGAAAGTCTCCCTCCAGTGGGGGTGAAGGGGAGGGGGTCCCTGGTGAAGAGGTGGAGTGGGGAGGGGGCTGGGCATGTGTCAGGCCCCTAGAGTGGGGCCTGAGTGGAGAGCAGGGAAAAGCGTTGGAACGTGGGCGCTTGTGTCTGGAGA